ACTAGTACGATAGTACATTAGTATAGTACGCTAGTACAATAGTACACTGGTACAATAGTACACTGGCCATGGTACGCTAGTACACTAGCACGCTGGTATGCTAATACGACAGTACACTAGTACGCTAGTACTTCAGTACCCTGGAACGGTAGAGGGTTAATATACTAGTCCGCTGATACGCTAGTACGACATAACGCTCGCGTGCACTAGTGCGATAGAACGCTTAGGAAGGAAGAACATTAGAAAGAGGGAACGATAGTACTCTAGTATGCTGTTGCTGACAATAGAACTTAGTACGCCAGTACGCTAGTACGACATACTAGTACGACATACATGTGACATTTGTGCGCTACTGCAGTATGATAAAGTCGTTCGGCTAGCACGGTGGTAGGCCAGAACGCCAGAACTAGAGGACTTAACATTATAAAGCGCAGCGGACGTAAGAACGTTAGACGCCGTACCAAGAGAAGAATGGACGACAGCGAAGGATATAACAAGCACCATATGGTCGTAAGCATGTATAGTTAGTTATACACGCATAACATGCTCTTTTACATTTTAAAAGTTTTGGAAAAGAAAAGAAACTATTAATATTTATAGGAGAGTAGCATATCAAAGAATTGTATATCATTCGTGCGGCTTCCCTGTGCTTTTTAGTTTTGGGCTTCCTTTAGCGAATCCATGCCATATATGGAAACAAAYAAAATGGCGGATTGTTTAGAAGTGTTTTCGCTATAATATCTGCAAGTTTCTGACGATTTCAAGCTTTAAAAGTTGAGAAAATCGACAAAAACCATTCCTATCGAACTTCCAAATAAGGTAAGATTACCATATATGGCTGCTAAACGAAGGATAACTTTGTGGGGGCAATTGTTTGATATGAGAGACATAGAAGCATCGTCAAGCTATTCCAAAACCATGAAGGCATTAATATAAGATTGTGGTCTAGGTAAGACGAACTTGGTGCCTTCTTCTCAGAGCGTAATCAGTTGTAATACTTAATACTGTGCAACGGCTTGCCAAGTATTAGGTCAACCTACCTCAAATTGCCCAGCATAGGCACARTGATGAAGTGGAAGTCTCAGATCTTTATCTCCAACTTCAAGAATYTCATTTCCAATAGCACCAACCAACAATTCTAACATGTCCAATTTATTGTTCTGAACAGCAAGG